AATTATCAGACGATTGTGTTTTAGTTCTTTCAGCCTCAATAAAGAGGACTTTTACTGGTGGCTTAATTTAGGAGAATTAAGCAAATAACAATCAAATGAAGAATGATTGAAGTATTTCATTAAAATGAAAACTTACAATGATCTAAACTCAGCCTCGTAGAGGTTTATAGCAACAATCTACTACTTGAAACTACTCCTATGAACGAAGTGCAGTGTAGGAATTTTAAAGTACAGAACTGGAAATGTAAAATTGGAAAGATAAAACTGGAAAGGAAATAAAGTAGACTAAGACTGGTTTTTTTGATCTGAGTCTGGGGGTTTTTTCTGGGGCCTTCTCTGCTATTTATACTTCTCAAGGATGACTATTGAACTGCATTTCCAACCGTCGAACTGCTCCTCCATGATCACTGATCATGTTGCCTTATAATTAGCTCCACTATGCCATCACTTACAGTTAGGCTTCCCTCATAATTTTGAATTTGAATGTGAGTAATCGTTGAAGCCACATCACTTTGCATCTCTTTGTTGATCCAATGCTACTCAGATCTCGTAATAACCAATGCTAATTGCCACGTGTACGATTATGATTGAAGACTTGAATTATCTTCCTGTATTGCTCTTATTCTGTCACGCGTCGAATTGTAATTGGCTTATACAAAATATGTAGCCAACATTACCCCCCGCACTAATATACCCAATACTTGGTGATGTTAGTGGATCAAGGTCTTTTATCCACGTCTTAGAACGTGCATGGGTTTTGCATTCTTCCAGAAATGCAACTGTCATTCATCATCTGCATTAAATTCTCCTTCAATCTTTTGAACACCCCCACCACCTTAGTATTCGAACAGACTGATACATTTTTTGTGGCCAAATCAATTTTCTCCTCCATTGATCGAGCACACGAAGATTCATCTGATGATGCTGTTCCTTCTCGAAAGAACCTCCATGCATTAATTAGCCACTTTTACCCACCTTTCTATATTCAAGTCGTGGAAGCCTTCGCAACCTATCAACCCTTGGACTACAAACACATTGCCCTTAATCCTTTGATTCAGAAAGTTACAAATATGGACATGGGAAGTTCTTCTTCTGATTCACCCTCGGACTACGAACAAACTGCCCTCAATTCTTTGATTCAGAAAGTTGCAAATATGGACATGGGAAGTTCTTCTTCACAATCCTCTGCATGAGATAAGGTTGTGGCTTCTTCTTCCTCTGGGGCTTCTGACTGGGCAAGCTGGTCGGAACCTGAGGCCTATGATTTAAGGGAGCGAATTAACCATCACTTTGTCGAGTTCACTGACCCTTTAGAGTTCCCTTCCTATGTGTGAAGCCCGGTGGTTTACCCTTACGTGCCCATCGACCGACGACGCAGTTTGGAAGACAATCTGCTTATAGCATGGTACACATCCTCCATGCCTACGAAGATAATGCACGTTACCCGACGCCCAAAAGAGGCACAAGGGTACAATCCATCATTCTTAGCCCAGAAGGCGAAGCTTTTCTCTTCTGACTGGCTCGATTATATTAATGCCTTTGTTCCTTCTGCCCTTACTCTTTCTCCGGAAGTGGAAGCTTCCATACCTCCTCCTCCTCCACCAAATTCTTGCTGGACAGAGAGACTGAGGCTTGCCCTCTCTGTGGATAAGGTCTTTTCTCCTTACAAGCCTCCACCTTCCCCTACTCCAGTTGAGCAGAAGCAAGCCCAATTTCTGCTTGCGGCCTTCTCTCACTTGCCTTTCAATGTTCTTGAGGACGACATCCCTCTCAAGAACCTTCGATGGGCTTGTGACATTCTGACTCGGGGTCACATTCTCAACCTCCTCGCCCAAGCAGAGCTTCACATGTTTTTGGACCAACTCCCATTGCTTCTTCACTGGCATCGAACTTCTGTGGCCACCACTCAATCTTTGGACCAACTCTCATCCCTTCGAGTTCATGCCCAGTACGAAGCAGAAAAC